TGGGATAGACCCTTGGCGTTTACTCAACAGTGTTACCTTTTGAGCGTAAGCTTAAATAATTAGAGAGAAGGTCCCCGCCATTAGTTGTACAGGGTTGCCCGTGTCAGGTAAGAACTTACTTGCTGGAGTCTTCCCAACACGCGATCACCTTGGACATATGTTTAGAGTCAACACCATACGAAGCGAGCGGGCCGGCCAACCACTTGCCGGAAATTGGAAAGCCGGATTTGAGGCATGGTGCGGCGATTGGAAGGAGCGGTCGTTGAGTCACATGTTTATTCGGAGGAACTTCCAGTCCACGTATCTCTGTGACCAGTGCGACGCAATAGCCCCTCACAAGCGTACTCCAGACAACCTTCTCCCATATATCTACACAAACTTTGCTGAAGACGCCCCATGGACTCAGACTCTCCGAACTCATGAGCAATATCTTGCCAGCACACCATCTGCAAATTTATCACCATGGCTGGAACTTCCAGGATTCCACATTTCATGCGTTCGATGGGATGTAGCGCATACTGTGCTTTTGGGGACTGGAAAGGATATCGTGGGGAGTTTCTTATGTGACCTCGCTCCTTCGGGTTTTATTCAGTAGTTTTTGTCTGGTTTACTTAGTAGGCGCTTAAACCTACCAGTAGTCCAATCCTGCTTTCTGCATTGCACTGCGCAAGGTTGAACTCCCTATGCTTTCCAATCTAGCTTCGCGTGGCGTAGAGCTACGCAGTGCACACGGTGTGGACTTGAATGTTCCTCTCGGCCTCCAATATGTTCGGGGCAATGCGCTCATGAACCGCTTGGGCATGGCTTTTAGGAGGTTTTGCCGGGAGAGGAAAATCGAGACCCCACCTGCTACATGGAACCTTCATCTGTATGGCAGGGGTGAGAATGACGCCCAAAGCTCATACCCAGTACTGGATTCTTCGGTGAAAGCAGCCCATACAAAACCAATTCTTTTCTTCTTGGCTGAGATATCACGAGAGCTTTCGGAACATTGCAATTGTATTTAGGCAACTTTTCAAGCAACTTTTGCATTTTTGCTTTTCCTCCCAGAACATAAAACAAAATACACCTTAATGTTTGAACCTCTCAGGCATTGGGTGCAGAGACCGAGCTATGGTGTTATACGGTTGCTGTGACTTTCTTTGGGCGACGGACAGGCCAGCCTTCCGATTAGGTGCTGTTTTGCAACAACGCGGTCTGGAATCTGGCGTGCTAGCCTTGACTTCTTATTCTGCGTTGTCTGCTCGGAACTTGCAGAAAAAACGAAAAAACTACAAGGTGAGACCCAAGTGGTATCTTAACTCAACATGTCTTTGTGAACCTTTTCTTTTTAAATTTGTGGGAGGTTACTGCCCGTATGATAAAAACATTGGGGTGCATTGCTGTAAAACTTCCTGAGGCACTCGTGGTGCCATTTGATTCACGGGCTACGTTCCTCTGACGAGAACATCAGGAACCATAAAACACTTGCTGAAGAAGATTGTTTGGGAAAGCTTTGCCAGCTAGCTTCCGCGGTGCATGGTGGTTGTGTGATTCGCCGCTTCTTTGATAGATACAGGTTGTTTCTCGCCATGCACTTCGAAAGACTTCAGAGTTTGCCACCCGAGCAAACACGAGCGGAGAACTGAGCAGCCCGACCTCCAGAGGAAATCTTGCTGCCAGCCCGGCCGCTTGCGTTGGTGTGGCACGGGAGGTGTGTGTGTGTGTGTGGGTGAGGGTGAAGGGTTGAAACACCATACAGTGTCAGGTGAACCCCACAAACACACATCAAATAGGGTGTCACTGTTTCTCTAAAAAACATGTTGCACAAATACAAGGTTTCTCAATCCTCAGAGTGTCCAGCTGTCGACCTATACCTAATCATACACACACACACCGATATATACTATATAGCTATATAGGAATATAAAAGAAAAACTGTGTGTTTCTCACAGTTTTTCTCGCTTTTGCAGAGCATCATCTTGCAAGTTTGCAAGGGGTGACGCCTGTGTTAATCAAGTCATCGGTCTTGGCTCAACTGGTCACAGCCCTAGTGACTTTGCAAAGATGGACAGCTAGGCTGTACGATAGCATGCCAAGGTCAACTGGGCATCGCTTCTGACAATGCCATCTGTACTTCTATGGGGCATTGTAACTCGCTCCTCGGAGCCTCCTGGCAGCAGGATGTTGTTGAAGTGGGCGAAGAATCCTGACGGCTCACCAAGAGCAAAAGCCCGCCTAGTGGTTCATGGCTACAACTGCTGATGCCTTAGCTGGAAATCTGGACACACAGTCGCCTACAGCATCCCGATTGGCCAGAAGCCTTCTTCTCTCCATCTCAGCGACGCTTCATTGGCATGGCTGGTCGGCAGATGTCGCGACGGCATTTCTACAAGGAATGCCCCAGACGAGACAGCTCTGGCTCGGTTGCCCAGCGGCTGCTTGCAGATCCTTGGATGCGGCCCAGAAACTCGTATGGCTCTCATCAAGCCCGCCTACGGGCAACTGGATGCACCACGCCGCTGGTGGCAGGAAGCCACGCGACGCCTCACTCAAGAGGGATGGGTTCCACGTGATCTTGATCCATGCCTTTTTGTACTTCATCACCACAAGGATGACAACTCCTCCGAACCATGTGGACTCATCGCCCTGCACGTTGACGACATGCTTGGTGCAGGTGACAGAAGCTGCCCCACCGACATTGCAGCTGAACGTCGCTTGAAAGAAGTTTTTGACTTTCGAAGCTGGCAGGAAGACGCAGAGACCATGGAATACTGTGGAGTTCTACACCAACGGGAGAACTTCGCATGGACGCTTTCTCAAAAGCACTTCCTCCACAATGTCAAGCCCGTGACCATTCATCGAGGCCGTGGAGCCGAAGATCCCATGAATGACCAGGACAAGGCCCAGCTTCGTGCTCTACTTGGAAGCCTTCAATGGCCTGGAGTACAGTCACAACCTCACCTTCAAGCCAGCTGCAGTCTGATAAGTGGTCAGCAGCGTAGCGGAAAGATTCGAGCCATCATTGAAGCCAACTCACTCCTCAAGTTCGCTAAGGAGAATGCCGATGTGACCTTGAAGTACGAGCCCTTCCAATCCGTCAAGAACCACAACGATCTCCACAAGGTCAGGCTGGTGATCATGTTCGATGCGTCCTCACATGCTGCAAGAGAAGACCACGCTTCTCAAGGTGGCCATTTGGCCATGCTGGTTCCTGAGGATTCCTTTGAGCAGGAGACGCCCTACCACATTGTGGACTGGCGAAGCTATAAACTACCTCGCGTCGCTCGCTCAAGCCTCAGTGCAGAAGCTCAAGCAGCAGGTGGTGCCAGCGACACAGCAGAGTTCATCAGCCGCTTTTGGTCGATCATCTTTGATCCGTTAACCTTCCCTTCGAGAACGACTGCATGAAGTCTCAGCACTGAAGCCCACGCTGATCACTGACGCAAAGGCATTGTACGATGCTTGGCGCAAAGAGACAGCAACTTCAGCAAGCTCCTCCGTGGACAAGCGCACTTACCTGGAGGTCAAAGTGGCCAAACAACAGGTATGTGAACTGGGTGGATGCCTCAAATGGATTAGCTCCGAGAGACAGTTCGCAGATGGTTTGACAAAGAGTTCAACCAGAGGACTCCTGGCAGATCGCATCCGGCGACACAAAATCAAATTGCCTTGGGACCCTCACTACACCGCCGCCAAGAAGAAGAGCAAGCAAGAAAGGAAAGAGAGTCGGCAAGAGTTCGCTGACCCCAAGTCAAGAAAGAAGAAGAAGAAGAAGCCCACAAAGAACGAACACACCAACAACAACCTACAGCTCAACCACACCGACAACCTCGAGAGCGTGCAGGAAGAACCACATGAAGATGAACTGGTTCTGTTGGACAATTCCCCTAAGGAGAACTACACTGCAAGGTCGGGCACCACAACTCTGTGGTCCCCGATGGCACTGCTGGTCTTCTTTACCCAGCTCAAGGCCGCTACTGCAGAGTTCTTCGGTGGCCATGCGCAGATGGCTGATGAGGGAGTTTGCGCTATGGACGATGACCCCGATGGAGGATGGTACTTCCTTTGGCGCTTGGCGCTCTTCATGCTGATCGCCGTCCTCATTCTGTGCTACCTGTCCTACAAGCTTGGAAGATTCCTGGAGCGCAAGAACCAGATTCGTGACCTGAAGGTCAAACTTCGTGTGGCAGATGCTCGCAACAAGCGACACTTCGATGCCGCCTTGGACGAGCAGAATCTTCGACTCGACCATCGTATAGCTCAGCTTGAGAACGACCTCGTGAAAGCTGCCGAGACCAACTTCGAGAACAGACGGCACCACAATGAGATGATGGAACAATGGAACAACGAGCAGCAGGAGGCCAAGAACATCGACCAAGCCTTTCAGCAATGTCAAGGACTACTTTGGCGGTGTTACAATGAGCTCCTGCACCACTTCCAAAAGGAATGCCCCATCGAGCACGGCACCCTCGTGACGCCATTTGGCCATGTCTGGCACACCCACTCGGAATGTCAAGGTTTGAAGCAAGCCCACAGGGTTGGCCGCCGACCAATATGCCACTTCTGTGAGCCTTTGCCGAGGACTCCCAATGTGGTCAACAGCCTCAGCGGAACTACCTTAGCCCAAGACATGGGCAGCTGGCGCCAGCAATGGGGCTACTTGAGCTACGAGTCCTGGATGGTCGATTGACCTTGCCGCTTGAGCTTGATTTTTTTGTGCACCACTTACCGGTGTGAGTTTCAAGATGTAACTCAAGCCACTGACGCGACACGACGTGTCAGTATCCTTCAGGTTGTCACCTTCCCTGGCCATATGGCCCTAACCACCTAAGCGGTGGGAGCTGCAGCCTAGAGCAATGGCGAAAAAGGGAGCATAGACTTCGAGAGCTGTGTTCCACCTCGTTCTTCCAAGGAACTTCGACTGTCTTTGGAAACCACTTGGGCCTTTTAGCTTTGCTACCTCTGTCCAAGTGACAACCGCGATTTGACGAACCGTGAGCCTTCTGTGCCCGGGGCAGGTGGAAAAAATGCTGGAGAGTGCTACTGCAACTTTGCCAAGCACTGGGGAATTTGGGGCCAAAGGCTGACAAGACACAACTGTATGAGGCATATCCGTTGTGTCAACTCAGGCTGGATGAAGCCTGACAGAAACAACCCGCCGGGTCAGAAACCGAACGTTCAGTCGTGTGCGTTTCACAACACGCTGAAACGAGTGAGTGCGAGCAAAAACCTGTTGAACAAACACGTGTTTTAGGAGACTGATTGATGGAAATGCACGTCACCTGACTGCCGGCACTTCCCTGTAACCCCGACCCTCCCCCCACCCACGATATCTTTACCGATTGACGATGTCGATGTCCCCTATCGATGGCCACCGCCGGTCGCAAACATACAATGCGCAGAATTGAAGCTTTTATATAGTGAAGCCAGCGTGACTACACGTTCGCTTTCCGACCCAATGGAAGAACCAAGTACCGTATCAAAGAGGATCAAAGAGGGCAAATGTGTACAAAGCACACAGTTTTTTGTTTAAAACATGTGCGTGTGAGATCAATGTGCCTGAGCCAAGGAGAGCTTTGCATCAATGTTGGTGCACCTCGGACAGAGATATGCCACAGCGCAAAGACGTTCGTCCTGTGCACACCTAGCCTTGATGCACCTCTGCGCATCGTCACAGAAGGAGAGGTCGGTCTCAACAGAAGCGTACAGGCGGTGCTTGCAAGTATAGAGCATTCAGTTTGCCATACTTGCAAGACCAAGACACGATAGCATTGAGTCTATATGTGTGCATGATAGTCAATACAAGTCGTCACACACACACATGCACGCACACACACAAGCACATATGAGACATAACGGTATATATATATATATTTCTTGTTCTTATATAGAAAAGAAAGATATCTTTATCTATCTATAGACTATATATATGTGTGTGTGTGTGTGCGTGTGTGTCCACACCTGTTACTAAGGAACCTGCGTCGAATAATTCACCACCGGTGGACAAATTCCGCTACCGCAGGGGGTAGCGGCAGATCACTTGGGACCGCTACCAACGAAGACGCCCATTTGATTTGGTGAAATCAGAGTTGGCCACTCTGACGTACCTGCAACGGTTCGATTGACGATGTAAACCATATTGTTTCTGACCCTGCCACCTTTGTGTTCCCTCACAGGGCTGTTTCTCAGGTCTCAGGCAGCGCTCTAAGCCAGTAGTGTATTCACTAGAGTGGACTGCCTTAACTGATCTAGCTCTTGCGAGCATCAATCTAAGTGTGTATCGCCACAGGGTCCCACTGAGGTCTGTGGTGTGATCCCCGACCAGATGCGCAGCATGTGCGCATACCCTCAAGGGTGATCCTTCCTGGTCCCCCGTCCCTCACCTGATCCTTTCCTCGTACCTCTACCTGATCCACTGCTCCGCTTGAAGCAGCTGATCATATGCCGCAGGGCTTACTGAGATCAAACTCCAGCGGCTAAGTATTCGTCATGCTGCTAAGTATTCACGTGTCCTCTCTCCTGCTGTTGCTTTTCGTTTTCTGAGCCTCTTTTCGTTTCCTAGAGGCTTTTTAGGTGTAACTGAGTTTTTTTGCGCCGATGACGGCTTCTTTTGCCAGTGCCTTTGGGGTCAGTGCATGCCCCATGCACGAGAATTCGCCAGGCTTCCCCACAGCCCACACCCTCGCACCCCCTTGCACCTTTCTCTTCTTTTCTTGCCTTTTCGTTTGTCTTGTTCTTTCTTTCAGGCTTGTTAGGTGGACATCCAGGCTCGTTTAGTCAATGCACGCCCTGCCCACCCCCCGCACCCCTTGCACCCCTTGCACCTTCCTCTTCTTTTCTTGCCTTTTCGTTTGTCTTGTTCTTTCCCTCAGGCCTTCAGGTGGACTTCCAGGCTCGTTTAGTCAACGCACTCCCACACCTTTCCCCCCCCCACATCCCGGCAACAAAAAGAGAGCACGCCGTCCCGGCTTTTTGTGTGTGTCCACACCTGTTACTAAGGAACCCTGCATTGAATAATTCACCACTGGTGGACAAATTCCATTGCCGCAGGGGGTAGCGGCAGATCACTTGGGACCGCTACCAACGAAGACGCCCATTTGATCTGGTGAAATCAGAGTTGGCCACTCTGACGTACCTGCAACTGTTCGATTGATGATGTAAAATGTAAAACATATTGACCCTGCCACCTTTCCGTTCCCTCACAGGGCTGTTTCTCAGGTCTCAGACAGCGCTCTAAACCGGTAATGTATTCACTAGAGTGGACTGCCTTAATTGATTTAAGGTCTTGCGAGCATCAATCTAAGTGTGCAATGTGCAAGTGAAATCACTGCGCGCGAAGGTATCACTGAGGCGTCGTATCGCAGTGGTGCAGGGTTCGAGGAAAGAAGGACTTCCACCCCAGATCGCCAAAGCTATTGTTCCCACCTGTCAGGTGAGGGTTGTTAGATTTTATGTCAGCATGTCAGCCCCATCTCCCTCCTTCCTTCGTCTCCTTCTCCTTCTCCTCCTCCTCCTCCCCCTCAACCACGACCATCCACGCCCAGTGTTCCCTGCCAGACCTCAACCACGATCACCCACGCCCTGTGCTCCCTGCCAGGCCTCAACCACGACCGTGCACGCCCAGTGTTCCCTGCCGAAACTCAACCACGACCATCCACGCCCAGTGTTCCCTGCCAGACCTCAACCACGACCATCCACGCCCAGTGTTCCCTGCCGGACCTCAACCGCGACCATCCGCGCCCAGCGTTCCCTGCCGGACCTCAACCACGACCATCCGCGCCCAGTGTTCCCTGCCGGACCTCAACCACGACCATCCGCGCCCTGTGCACTTCCCCGCCGGACCTCAACCACGACCGTGTCCCCCGCCGGACCTCAACACACAATTACACACAGAACAACAAACACACAACTACAAACACACAAACACAACCACAAACACAACTACAAGTAGTTCCCCGGCAAGCCGGCGGCGGAAGTTTCCTATAAGAACAAATTGAACTATAGGAGTGTCCGGTTCTTTCCACCATGCGTGTCCCTCGTGTCCCTCAGTCAGACGCATGAGTGATGAGTGATGAGTGAAGCATAGCTCTAGCTCTAGCTCCACTAAAGTTAACTGGAGCTAGACGTTAACTATGATGTGATAGCTTGTCTAGACACGAAGCTAATTAGCTCAAATTTGTCAACCTCTCAAAACACGTGTTTTGAGGTTTCCAGAAAGTAATCGAAATGACCACTTTTGAGGAAGCAAAGTAGCTAAAATTTGTCAACCTCTCAAGAGAGCCAGGTGGTCGGGAGACATGACTCAGCTGCAGGGGCGCCAGAGCAGCCGCGAGAGATGACTCAGCTGCATACTAAAGTTGTATTACCAAGTCGCCAGTTCTCAGCTTCCAGCTCCACAGATTGCTCCGCGTACTAAAGTTGCACTACAAAGTCGCCAGTTCTCATCTTCCAGCTCCCCAGATACTCCGCGCGCTAAGAGTTGTACTACAAAGTCGCGTACTAAAGTTGTACTACAAAGTCGCCAGTTCTCAGCTTCCAGCTCCACAGATTGCTCCGCGTACTAAAGTTGTACTAGAAAGTCGCTCTCATCTTCCAGCTCCCCAGATACTCCGCTTACTAAAGTTGTACTACAAAGTCGCCAGTTCTCAGCTTCCAGCTCCGCAGATACTCCGCGTACTAAAGTTGTACTACAAAGTCGCCAGTTCTCAGCTCCCATCCACAGATGCTGTGCCTGCCACGAACTCTGCGCATGAAGGTCGCAAAGTGCTGTGCCTGCCACGAACTCTGCGCGTGGAGGTTCACAAAGTGCTGCGCCTGCCACGAAATTTGCACCTCGAGGTTACACAAAGTGCTTTGCCTGCCACGAACTCTGCACATGGAGGTTCACAAAGTGCTGTGCCTGCCACGAAATCTGCACATGGAGGTTCACAAAGCGCTGTGCCTGCCATGAAATCTGCGCATGGAGGTTCACAAAGTGCTGTGCTTGCCACGAACTCTGCACATGGAGGTTCGCAAAGTGATGTGCCTGCCACGAAATCTGCACTTGGAGGTTCACAAAGTGCTGTGCCTGCCACGAACTCTGCGCATGAAGGTCGCAAAGTGCTGTGCCTGCCACGACATCTGCGCATGGAGGTTGACAAAGTGCTGTGCCTGCCACGAAATCTGCACCTCGAGGTTCACAAAGTGCTGCGCCTGCCACGAATTCTGCGCATGGAGGTTCACAAAGTTCTTCGCCTGCCACGAAATCTGCGCATGGAGGTTCACAAAGTGCCTCACCTGCCACGAAATCTGCACATGGAGGTTCACAAAGCGCTGTGCCTGCCACGAAATCTGCACTTCAAGAAACAAGTGAAAACTCTAACCGCAATGGAGGGACG